CAGAGAACACTGATAAACCTCAAGTATTGCTTGCAAGCAAGGAGGCAAGCAAAGCGAACGGCTCTTACATAAATAAGCAAATGTTCAAAGTACAGCCAACCTTGGATTTGGTGGCAACCGAAACCCATGGTGGTGAAAGAACACAAGATGGTAGTTTGAATGCTTGAACTGTACCTCTTGTTAGGTCCTGTACAGAGGTACTAGTGGAAATGTTGAAGCCTTTGTGATGTGCAATTACCTCTGTTGTTCCTGCTAACCTGGGAATGGGGAGGGAAAAGATTGGATGGAAGGGGTCAAGCCAGCCTGAGGAGCCTTCTGTGGCTGTATTTCACCCAAGTGAACGGACATCTGAACGCAAGAGCTCCGAGTGAGGGCTCCTGCAGGCTGCTACTACCCCATTTCTTAGCACTTTGTGGAAGAAAGCTGAAGCAGCTGTCCTTTGCCACGGTCTCTCACCCCATCCCAAGAAAAGAAAACAGATGTTTGTAAGAGCAAGCAGACGGGGCAGGTTCGCAGCAGCGCAGGTTCGTGTGGCTCCTGAGTGTTTCCCAGTGAAGGGATTCCTCTTGGAGACAGCTGAGCCAATGCAAGTCTCCAGCTCTGATAGCAAAGAACAGAAGCAGCTCAGAGTGGGGAGCTGAACCCTCACCTGAGCTCATGGCTGTGTAGGAGACAGAGGCTTCCTCTGGTTCTCCAACAGCTTTTAGGCACAGACAGCGTAGAAAACCTTTGAGCCAGGTGAGCCTGCACACAGCAGGGTCAGAGTGCAATGCGGCGAGCGCGCTCCTATTCCCATTCTTATCTAAGGGGGCAGTTTAATAGATTATTCTTTCTGTGAAATGACTTGTGAATTGCTGTGCAGTCAGCTGGCAACACTGTCTCTGCCAGGTCAATAGGCCTGAAGGTAGATGCCTGGAGGGAAGGAAAGCCATGTTTTGACAACCCTTTCACAGAGGGTGTCTCATCTTCAGTACACATTCTGAATTACAGTTTGCTGATTTCTCAACGTTGCACGGGTTGTTTTTTCTAACAGGACTGAACAATAAGATGAAGGGCAGATGTCTTAAATCACTGCAGGAACTTCCTTGATCACGCACTGACTAACCCAATGGGATGGGGTTTTCTAAAGCATTTGTCAGTCTCCCAGACCTGGACTGTTTAAACAACTGGTCAGCAGACTTGAACAAAAGCTCTTAAGAAATGCAGAGCCTCTCAACTTTCTCAGTCCTCGTCTCTGCTATTTTGCTATTGCTTCTCACTACATCATATCTACAAAACTTGCCAACATCCGCTGACAAAAAAAGCAGACGTGTATTTGCATGTGTTTGCATAAATTTGCATGCACCTGGGCATAGGCCAGCAAAAGCGTGTGCTCTCTGACTTTGAAGGGATGTTCTAACAAGCCCTGAATTGAGTGATAAGTGCATTGGTGACTTAGTGTCGTGCATCAAGATAAAATGGTCAATAAAATGTCAGTTTCTTGAACTTGCTAGCAACAAAACTGTAAAAATGTGACTGTCATGTGATGTAAAAGGCTTTTTGACATCTAGAAATGTCTATGAGATGACGGAAGTCCTTTTGTAGCAAGTGAAAAAAATATGAGCTGTTTTCTGGAGTGGCCCGTCTCTTCATTATTTCATCTGCCTGCTGTTGGATGTTTAATACAGAGCAACACAGACTTGTAGTCTGTAATCAGCATCTCCAGAATATCAGGGAAAGCACGGGTCTGGGGAGGTATGGATGTGGCTTCATTCAAAGCATCACCCTGTCAGCCTGCGTTCCTCAGAGCTGACAGATGAGATTTGCAGAGGGAAGATGCCGTGACCGACCCAGGAAGGATTTGTTCTCTCTACAGGCACATGTGTGTTTAGTTTCCCAAAGCTAATACATTAGAGGCCTGCTCTGAAGCCAGCCCCTATCCATAATGTCTTTGGACTGGATCCACGAGACTGTTGGAGGCTGCGTGTAAAGCACCTTTCCCTGTCAAGCCAGCCAGCTCCTGGCCTGTGTATCAAGAAAAACCCTTTTCAGGCTCAAAGGCAGCCTGAGTGTCGACTCTCCTGTGCTGGGGTGAATTTCGTTGATTTCAGCAGTGTCTTAGTTCACAGTTAACCCCCTCAATTTTTTATGACCGTTTCAGGGGAAATGTACCTTTTATAACCTTAGCAGCACTGGCAGTGTATGATACACTTTTATTTGCACATTTTATCTCTTCCTACCCGTGGCTTTGGATAAGTCGCTCATAACAAAGGCTTGTTATCACCAAACAAATGTTCTGAAGTGGTACCATAGAAAAGTTGCTAGTCAGTTGGCAAGGAAAACTTTTTGATCAAATACTCTGTGCAACTGCTAAAGAACCTGAAAAGGAGAACCTTTTATTTTCTCTATAACTGCAGGTTACTTTTGGAGCTATTCATGGCTTTTTGTAAGAATGAGGTGATCCTCACTTTTGTGTAAATATGTGTTTATATAGGCTGGCGGAGCTTCACCTGGCAGGGACTGAAGAAATGCCAGCATTTCAGTAGTGCTGTGCCAGCTCTGTTGGAGATATGACCCAAGCTGCTTTCCTTTAACAGCCTCCCCTCCCTCCCCCCTTTTTTGAATACAACCTTTGAATAGTCCTCCTCTGTTGTTTTCTTTCTTTCTTTCTTTCTTGTGTCAACAAGACATCATTGTGTCAACAGCCAGCAAGATTTTACTTGCCCAGCATATGTCACCTAGAGCTATTGACATGGAGTTGGGGAATGGTATCTAAAACACGTTTGCAGTCCCTGGCATGGGGGATTGCAAAACAGCTGGAGAAAGAGCAGCAGAGAAATAGAAAGAGGCTGGAAGGGAGGGAGGACAGCAGTACTTACTTAATGGAAGCTGTTAGTGTCCAGAGACCCCAGTGCATAGAAACATTTTGCTGGAAATATCCTTGTCCCAACAGAGCAGTTGGTAATTTCAGAGCAGCTGGTCCCATGCAGCATGAGGCCAATAGCTGTCATATATCTGCTTTCTTTACTTCCTTGCTGGCACTCTTGTACAGACTGAATGCTACTAACCTTGCTGTAAAACATATTAATATGAACACTCTCCTTGTTGAATGCTTGCCATTTTCACGTGCTCTTTCCTTTGCTGTACGAGAACACCTCTTCTTGGCTCTGTTAAGCTCAGGATGTAGTCACCCCATTTCCACTAGAAGCCTCAAATATGTTGCCTCAACCTTATCTTCTTGTGGCTCTTTCATGTTGGTGATAAGGGGCTTTGACATGTGGCTAAAGGTGTGCCCACTCCTCAAGCAGCAGGCAGGAGTAGCTGGCACTGAGCAAGCTGTGGAGAAGGCTGGGTCAGTAGAAGTGTCACCCTCCAGTGTCCTGAGATAACACTCAGGGGCTGAAGCATGTGCCAGCACTGCTAAGATGACACCTAGTTGACACCTAGTAGAGTGTCTCTGCACAGGGGTAATCACACCTTTAACTGCAGCAAAGATGCATCTGTTAACTCCTACTTGCAAGCTTTCTGTGATCGAATGCATTTAGCACTTGGGACAACTTAAAGAACTAAAAATGACACAAACCCTGGAGGCTGCATGGGAGGAACAGCTCTGTTTCCTGATGAAGGTGGGGATACAAGGTTAAAATAACTGGCATTATATAAATATTTGCAAAGTCTCAGTAAAAAAAAAAAAAATTTAGTTACTCATAGATTTCACAGGGTGATGAAATATTGGTTGATTTTTTTGGTAGAATGAAGGAAACCTCCCTACTTGCCAGCCAGATGTGTGTGTGTCTGTTGCATCCTTGGACGTATGGGTAATTTCAGCTCTGGGGAGAGGAAAGCTTTTCAGTTAACTGTAGAAGTGTCTGGAGGAGAAGGTGAGCATACAGCTAGTTAAATTATGTATTTATCTTCACAGGTGTAGTTCTTTTTTTTCATTTGTGTTGGATTTAATATGGAGGAATGCTGCTTTCTTTCCAGTCTGGGTGCTCAGCTGAGAACCTGGTGGCTTGGCAGTCTGCCTCACCAAGTGCTATTCAAAGGAGGTGAGACACAGTCTTGTAAAGGTCTGGGCTTATGAAAGAAACAGGGAAACCTTGGGTATGATAACTTTGCCATTATTTACTTCGAAAAAGAAAATTAGCTCCTGTTCAGTTGATTATGAAAGAAAAGAACTGATATCAACAGTCCGAACTATACAAAGGGCTGCTGAACTACATCAGCCTCTCACTGAAGCTCTGCCTTCACGGGGAAATTGGTGTTGAGCAGCAGCCAAAGAAGTTTGGCACTGGATTGAACATCTGTGCAGGCCTGAGGGGCCTTTCTGGCACATGAGCCGCGGGCTAAGCCCTGAGCTTGCACAGAAAACAGAGGTTTTCCTTTTCTGCAAGAACCAGTAGAGAGTATCGCCAGGGCAGCCTGTGCAGAAGCAGTGGCTACGAAGCTGCAGATCCACCTCTGAGCAGGGTGCTGCACAGCTTTCTCTCTGGATAGTGTACTGGGTGCTGAGATATGTAGAGACTTGTTATCTCCTGGAAAGGGTAAGTAAGACCTTCCATACTGCTGAGTAACTGCTGCTTGTGTAGGTTGCTGAGAGACTCTCTTCCTCACCTTTGTGAGAGCAAGGATCGTGGATCATTAGCAAAAGAGAAAAGCGCTGACTTTTAGCACATGAGGAATGAACAGGTTTTAGCATGCGTACCAAACTCTTTATTTGTGTCAGAAAGAGCTGGCTTAATGACATGTGTTTGGTAAGGCAGCTTAGGATTTCTTTAAAAAACAACAAAGAAACAAACAGGAAAAAAAAAGAAAAAAAACAAAAACCAAAACCAAACCACCACCACAACAAAACACCCCTGGCCATGCACGACACAAGGACTAATGTAGTGACAACGTCATGTAGAAAATGCGTGAGTAGTGAAGAATAAACTGGACCGTGTTAGGCAGTGCAACTTTGCATAGTTCATGGGCAATTAAGCTGATTTGGATACAGTGGATGTGTAAAACCACATTCCCCATTAGCTATAGCAGATGTCACAGTTCCTATCCCTTCTGAAGAAGTCATCGGCCATGGCCATGGGCGGTAGGTAGTCCATGCAGTCCGTGCTGGGGCAGGGGCAGTACTGCGGGACCCTGTTGTCCACGTGCTGGGAGCCACAGGAGGTGCAGCAGCAGGTAGAGGCGGTGTATGGGGAGGGGGTGTGGCAGGACCACTCCTCTGCAGGGTACCCGTAGGTCTTGGTGTCCAGAGCAGAGGGCGGGCTGTGGGTCAGTGGGCTGAACGGAGATAGTTGAGGAGGAGAGCAGCTATCGTTTAATGGGTTGGACAGATCAGCTGAACTGGGGGATCCGGCAGCCTAGAGTTTGAGAGGAAAAAAAAAAAAAAAAAAAAAGGACATTTCAGGGTGTCATTTGAGGAAATGTGGACAGCAGCCAGAATTTCCACACTGTTGCCTTTCTCAGGAGAGTCTTGGCTACACGAGGAGATGATTCAGCCCTTGGAGACCTAAACCCAAGAGGCAGTTCCTGTGACATGAGTCTTAATAGGGAGCTTCTCTGCGAGTTAAGACAACTGATAGCAGGAACCAGGCTGTTCTTTGTGGGAAATCTACAGGATCTGTAGAGGGGACATTCCCTATTCTGCAGCCCCTCTCTAAGTTTGGCTGGGCCTCCCGGTGCTCTGCTCCCAATAGGAAACCCTGTGGAAGTCCACACAAGCAGCCTGCATTGCTGTGGCTGTACCCCATGCCCCCCAAAGCAGCCACATTCCCCAGTCAGCTCGCTGCTGATCTGCCCCAGGATGTGACTCCCTTCCCCATCTTCCCTCCGAGTGCACCTGTGGCTGCTCCCCGGGCACACAAAACTTACCTGGTTAAAGCAGAGTGAGACTGGCTGGAAGGTGTCTGAGGTGTAGTGTGAGGACGTCTGGAAAGCACCGAAGGCTGGGTCTAAGGGTGCATCTGTCTGAAGACAGGAATCTACCAGCTGCTCCAAATAGCTAGGGTTTTCTTCACAGGAGAGGCAATTCGCAAACTGCCACGATGGACAATAGTTGGGAACAGAAGAGATGGGTTCTGCATCACAAGGTGCTAGGAGAGAAGGTAAACCAGCAGATTATTCAGTGTCTGTCTCCACAAAGGGCAGGTGTTGCCCCAGGTCAGGTTTCAGTACTCTCGTATGTTCAGTTGCCCTGTAGATTTAGACAAAGAAAAAGGTCCTTCAAGTTCAGGGTGAATTTTCCAGGGAAGCAGACACCAGGAGGAAGATGCTCAAAAGTATGCAAATGACTTGGGAACTTTAGTCGCCTTGGAAAGCTCCAAAGCTCTTTAAATACTGCTGGAAACTCTTCTGGCTCCAGATATTCTGGACGGGCATCCAGCTTAAAAACTCCCTCAGACTCTTGACCCTCTGGCCTCCTTTCAAATGTCAACTGGTTACAGATCTAGAAGCTTGCCGTGCACTGATTTATGCTTCACAGCTTGGCAGATGGCTTGTGCCTTTGCCTCACCCAGTTTCCAGATGCAGAGTAGCTACATCTGCAGGAAGAAGGGGATAGCAGAAGAATAATTTGCCCTTTTACCCTTCAAACAGACAGACAGGAGACAAATTTCTGAGCAGACAAAATGAAGCAAATCAGTGATAATGTGGCACTATGTCCATGCAGTGTGACCAGAAAAAGCGCAAGTTCCTAGAAAGCTGTGGGGTCGGACTCTCACTGTACTGCAACACGCTTGCTGGGGGTATGAAAGCTCAGAGCAGATCTGAATTTTCAGAATTATTATCTTTTCATGCTGTGTTCAAACATGGTTAAAAGCAAAGCTCTGTCCGTGTGGAGGGGCACAGGTGCGAGGGCAATGGGATTGCATGTGAGTAGAGTCACTCAGCGTCATCATAGTTTGCAGGTTCACGGTGGCAGTGTTCAGCTGGATGCGGTGGGAAACGAGAAGCATCCAAATACATAAACAGATGGAGACTTCCCAGCCTGAAAAAGCTTTGGTATATCTCATGTTTTTGTATTAATATAAGCAAACTGATTCCCAAATATTGACAATTTAGTAATTTCCTTGTCCATACATTGTATATATTCACACCTGCCCAACCTTTTATGTCGCTCTGCTTTGGCTGCAAATTAATTGAAGGATCTGGGAGCCCAAAGTGCTGTTCCCCCACCCCTCTCCTCTTTCCTTGGATATTCTCATACTGGAGGAAGAAACTCTTCATGTTGCTGGAAACCTGGTGCTCCTCTCACACCTGTGGATGCTGCCAGGAGAGTGAGAAGAGCTCCACTGGAGCTCAGCAAAGTGCTCCAGGGCGATCTGACCCTCTAGCTCCAATCGGACCCACAGGCTGCAGCCTGGAGAAGGTGATGCCAGCAGCGTTATTTCCTAGGGGATGAGCATCTCTTCCTGAAGGGGATCTTGCTCCTTGCTGAGGGAAAAAGAGATTGCACAAATAAGAGCATGTGAGCATGCTCCTGAACAGGGTAATATGTACCCTGCTGGCCTCACGGCATCCTCATCTGCATTTCATGGGCTCCTTTCAGGTGCTGATTGGCTGCATTGCCGGTTATCTGGTAGTGCCTGCCTCAACCAAGGGCTGGAAAGACTCTGGGCTGTGGGAAAAATTGGGAAGGCAGTGGGAAGGGTCATGTAGATGGGCTTTGTACCAACCTGGGTGAGGAGGAGACACAGATTCCGAAAACTGGATACTGCTGCTGCTGCCCCAAGAAACCTGAGAGAAGGGAAGAAAGGGCATTGTATACACTGTAATACAGGGGAGCATTTTTCTGCAGGCTGAGGTAAGTCAGGATTTCACTTCAACCTATTTATGTAAACCTCATGGCTGCAATGGCTGCGACATGGAAAACTTCCTTAGCATTGGCAGAACAAAATTCACGTGCATAACATGATTTTTCCCTGAGCATATAATGGCACTGAAGGAGCACAACACCAACCTGGTGTAAACCCCTTGATACAGGACCTTGCTAGTGTGCTCCTCCTAGTGTGTTATTACTGTTAATTCAGCAGAGATGTGGCTGCCTTTGAAACGAATGTGTTAATTTCTAGGACCATGAATTCCACAGTGGAGGGATCCCAAAGAATATGTAGGGAGTAATTAACAAATAACTCTTGAAACTAAAGAAATTGCAGGTATCCCCATGGCTGGCCATCAGACCGAGTTGCAGTACTCGCTGTTGATGTCATTTGAGAACCCACTCTAACATTGCTCCCCACTCTAACACAGCTACGTGCCTCTGTGGAAATGGACAGTCCCATTTTCTGAGGGAAGCTGGAAGCCGAAGCGGACAGATCAATCTGTTCTTAGGAACCTGACCTGCCAGAGGGGAGAAACCCACCCCCAAAAGCAACGGGAGTTTTGATGCGTATTGTTTGGGACCAGGATTTTACTCTGCAAATACAAATACAGGTTTTTTTCCTCAGTTTTAGTTCACACAGACTTACACTTCATTTTTGTTATTCAAAATGCTCTCAAGTTTGTTGCTAAGGAAATGAGCCACTGCTTCCTAGCACATCCCCATGCATTTAATTCATTAAATAGTGGCTATTCTGGGCGGAAAGTGCCTGCAGGACTGCTCCTCTTCTCTTTGGCTGCAGATGTGCAATGAGGCAGACACAGCCAGACCGCCAGCAGCAGACGTTCTCAGGTTTGGGTTTTTCCAGTGCACGGAGGCAGCTTATCCTGTTGGCCCTAACCTCTGGGTTAACCTCCAGGACAACACATCCCTTTTGCAGATCACAAAGGTAACCTCCAGCACTGCCACTTTTCACTTTTTCCTGTGTGGACAAAACAAGTGTTGTGTAAACTCGCTTGTGGGAGGTGAAAACCAGTTCGACACGCAGCCCTGTGACGCCTGGCTGCAATGGCTGCTGCCATAGGGGCCGGAGGGGAGGAGTGACCTGGTGTTTCCAAAGTTTTGTGCACTGTTCACCCACACCTCTGCGCTTGTGGCTTGCAGACTATTTGGCTTTTTTTTTTTTTTTTTTTTCTTTTGCAATCAGCTGCAACAAGGTACAGGAGGTGTGAGATGAAATCTGAAAACCATCTAAAGCTGTAATGTCATGAACCAGGAAGAAGTAATGATTTACCAACCTCTTTATGCAAATCTCTAGAGTGGCTGGAGCTAGAGGACTCCTACAACGACTGGAAGACTGAGACAGAGCGTACCTGTGTGTGTGGGGGGGTGTACACACACAGATCTCCATCCCCTCCTTTAGAAGGGGTGGGGCTAGGAGCTGCCCAGGTGGTACTGAAAAATGTTGGAGACCTGAATTTAGTCAAGCACACTTGAATATTATGCTAAGGAGCAGGATGGAGCACTGCTTAAGGGGTCTTTGCCTGTGCCTTGTTTTCTTCCTTTCTGCTAGCCAAAATTTGGGGTTGTTGCTAAATCTCAAATTCCCAAACTCTCTCCACTGCCCAGGAGCTGCTGGAGGCGCTGTACCTCTGGTGCCTTCGTTTCCTGCCTGATCTAACTGGACAAGAGCATGCCTCTGGGGTATAGGGGGTAGCTGAAAGTAGCTTCCTGGGTGGCTGAGACTTGTGGAAAAGGAGGAGGGTAGGGGAGCTTTAGTGTGCCAGAGTTTTGCACTGGTTGCTGCTCAAAGCTGCATGGGTCAGGTTGAAGGCATGCCCTGGGCATATCCTTCACCTGATGCTGGAAAACACTTTGGTGCACGCTTCAGCCCCGCCAGGCCACATTTGAAATGGGGGGTCGTGACCATGGCCTGCCTTGCTCGTCCAGCATAACGACACTGGAGTTGCTGTCCTAACTGTAAGTCAGACTGAAATTTGTCCATGTGAGCCTTCCATCCCAGGGTGAGTTACATTTCTGGAGCACTAGCTCTGCTTCCTCCCTGCACTAATGGCTCAGAACATCACCTGTTCAGATCTCTGTGGCACTTACCCTGGCTAAATGTTCTTCTCTCCCATCCTCACCAGCCTGCTACACTCAGACTTTGGCAGTCTCCTTGTCTCAGAGATTACAGGCTTGGCAAAAAAAAAGGATTGAAGAGAGAAGAGACAAAGCGGACACCAAAAGATTTCTACTTACCTCTGCACCAGTTGCTGCTTGTCGTGCTCTTCTCTGCTGCAGTAACTCCTTAACGGTAATCTTTACTCTAACTCCTTGATATACCTTGGGCTTTCCTGGAAGAATTTATGGAAAAACACTTCACAAGATGGGAGACTTTCAGAGCATACAGCAAATCCAGAATGTTTTCAAGCATGTTCCACGTGGAGTCTACTTAGAGTAAACAGGTGATTAACTGGTCACTGTTAAGTCACTTGTAATCACAGTTTATAGCCCTCTTTAACACCTGCTAGTCAAGACTGTGACAAGCAGAAATTTATGAAAAAGTTGGTCTTGATTATATTCAGTAATCATGCATGCTTTATGCTTTACTATATCCTTCTACCCGCCCCCCCCAGGTGTCCTAATACCAAGCTCCATCTGGTGCTACCGTTGAATTTATTTAAATTCCTATCTTATTTGCCACTCTTAGGACCTGAAACGTGGGAAGCACTTCATCCAGCAGACAAAGACCAGGAATAAAACAAGGGAAATATGCGGGCAATTATTCAGAGGGCTAAACAAAACACAAATAAAATTACTGCTTTCATGAACTGCTTCTTGCAAAGCCTAGATTATCTCTTTTGCTCATTCTGTACAACTCCCCAGTATTTCAAACAAACATTTACAATGTCTTTAATCCAGACAAAACCAACCAACAATCATCAGTCACTACCTGATGAGGGATTTTTAGTACAGGAAATGGTAAAGAATTTACCTGTTCTGAAAAATCACTTTCACTTGCTGTACTCATGCTAAAATACTTAAAGCCTCTGGCAGTGCTGTTTCTGTCCTAACTTGCTGCTGTTATTTTCATCCAGTAGCAGATACTACAAACCCTAGCATCATCTCATCATCAGCTGTTCCCCTGGGGAGGCCGCGGGTTGCAGGTTCCCTGTCCTATTGCTGCTGCATGCAGTAAGAAGTCAGTGCTGGATTTACAGGTTCCACCTGCACATCCAAGAAATCCCTCATTGTAGGCACTGTCCTCTTCTGCTATAACCTCTCCCTACTGCTGATGTCTGTACAGCATCTTCACCCTGTTGCCTGCCCACCCCCAACCCCGCTGCTGTCCCCTTGGGGCTCTGGTTGAGGACATGCTGTAACAGGCACACAGGTCCAGCAGGAAAGGCGGCAGGCTGAGCCAGGTCTGCCTCCAGGGGAGTCTGCTGAGCTGTGCTCTCAGCAGCTGGGGATCATTCATCTCCTATTTTTCTGTTTTGTTTCTATTCAACAAACAGAAGATGGGGAAGCTGAGGGGAGGAAAGGGTTGAATTTAACAAGAACACCTTGTTACCGTAGGCCAGGGAAGGCCCTGAGCTAGCAGCCCCTTCTGCAAGTTTGGGTGATGGCTGTGTACAGCCTCAGCTCCGGTGCGCGCAGGCAGATAGATAGGGCTAGGGGCTACACTATGAGCAACTTAAAGACAAATTAGCAGGTGAGGTGTGAACATAGCTATAATCAGGGGCTGGCTGTCAGCCAGTCCCCACCCTCAGCTCCTATGGCATAGCACGGTGCCCCAAGGATCCTGCTTTTCCAGCACCCCAAGGCCCTGGTGCCGTCTGCGTGCAGCTGAAGCGTGCAGAACAGGGATGCCCCAGCCAGCTCTCCTGAACTGGCCAGGCTGGGGATGGGCAGGGTGATGAAGCTGAGGCTGGGGATGGAAGGGACATGGTGATGAAGGTAAGGCTGGGGATGGAAGGGGCAGGGTGATGAAGCTGAGGCTGGGGATGGAAGGGACATGGTGATGAAGGTAAGGCTGGGGATGGAAGGGGCAGGGTGATGAAGCTGAGGCTGGAGGTCAAGGAGCAGGGTGCCAAGGGTGGGCTGAGGATCAGGAGCAAGGTGACGAGGGCAGACTGTGGGGACGGCACGA